AACTGAACTTTGCGGAAACAATCATTGATATTTGTTCTTCTCATAAAATCACTTACACTAGTTTTGAATCCATATTGCTTTTTTATTGAACATCAATTCATCTAAAATGTGTAAAAAGGTTCCAGAACGTAATACTGATATAATTTATGATATAAGTGAACGTGACAGTTTTGAAGAATTAAAAAAGTTTAATAATATCAAATAGAAATAATGCATCACTTGCACAATTAACTATGTTGACTAAGCTATTCGATGTGTCAGTATGATTAGCAATCGGAAATTCCTTTTGGAGATAATCTGCTCCGTTAATCCCATATTTACCAATTGTAAACAGAGGAAGAAAATGGAATCAATTGAAAACGTATATGAAAATGTTATGATCAATATTCTTACTTCGAAACATAATGGTACACACACACAGTAACATCTAAAGATGAGATATACATTTTGCGTTCATCAAATTTGTTCTAGGTGTTTTGTGGTGTTAAGTTAATGTGTCCAAAATCTTGTCCCCGCTAAATAAATCAAAGACAGTGTTGTCTTCAATAAAGTTTTCGGAAAAGAGTGACATTCAAAAGCAAATAAAACGTTCCGTTCAATAGAGCCATCCACAACATATTTTACACATAAATTCAAAGGAGTTTTATAAGAGTCTTACCGTATAGCTGAATAAAGCTGAACTAATAGATGTCAGCACTTTTTCTATATGTTTTGGTTGGGCCGGAATGCCATATGCTTTACCCTACTGATGTTCATATTGTGATTAATCATGAAAATTTGGGTTATTAGACGAATAAAAAGTTCCAAAGAATTTTAACATTGCATCAATGAAGATTTAGCCCACACTTTTCAGAAAAAGAGAAAATGTAATGAAAACGGGACAGGAGAGGAGATTCCTAAAGATGGCCACTATAACATTTAGCCAAAATCTCATTAGCATTACAGATTCGTATCAACGCTAAGTGCCATGTACCCCAGTTAGGAAGGAACTTGCTTGTCGTTATACTATAAGCATATATGGTTTGTCCACCGATATTTTCAGATAAATCATCTAACAGCTCTCTTTAATCTGTTTGATTTGGAAAACAAATTAATCTGTGATAAGCTCTGACCTCATATCACTCCAATGTCGTATATGAAAATATGTCTTTCACTCATTTTGGAAATGTTTTCAGTTTTCAGTAAAATTGATCCTCAATCCATCCCTCAATCACAAAATAACCAAATGATGAGGTTTCCCCGGTGCAGGAAGGCGGAAAAGGGGAAAAACGCATCACCTAACATCACCCATCCCTACTCCAGATAAAGTGTATACCCGTAGTGTACTATACGAGCTCAACCACTGAGAGCCCAAATCTTTCATTTTGCCTTCATCTGTTCATTTCAATCTACATTGAGTACTTGAAATATTGTAATTCATATTTAAAATGAAAATTAGAATGTGAAAACCAATATATATATGGTTAATATGGAAGATAAGGAGAGCATCAAATATGAGGAACTTATATTGAATGGCAGACTGGACGAACGATGAAACAGAAAAATATCAGAATTCAGAAAGAACACCATAACTTTTGTCCGAAAAGTGGATTCTTATAAGCCCAGTGTGTAATAGAGCCTGATGTTTGTGGCATCATAGTATATACCGTTATAAAAGAGAAAAATAATGAAACGATAAATGAAATAAAAGAATAATGTGTTCGTCTTTGTATAATTGTCATTTAGACACCTATAAAATACGAGGCAATAACGCAGATGCGAGTAGGTAGTTACCAGTTTTACCACCAGGTGACTCGTTCGGGCCAGATAGCATGGCGGGTATAGTAGAAAGTTCCCTTTAACTTAAATTACATCCGGTTAAGTGGTTCAATTTTCATATAACCCTTATGTATCTAATTATATGCAAATCAAAATATGTCCAGTAAATGAAAATTTTATCTGACCAATACAAGAAAATATATTTCACTTTTTGAGATTTTGTAACACGGGCTCTATGGAGAATCAACCCGAACTAGAAGTCACACTTTCAAGAATAATTAAATTTTCAAACTTGATAAACAATTTTCGAAACCATATTTCTAGAGGTACTTTTGCATGTTGATTTCAAATATAACATCGATTTGACTGAATTTTGAATATTTAATGGCGTAAATCAAGATTTTTTCTACCCGCATCTAGTCTATTACCTGTTCTCGTTTTACGAACTTTGAACGAACGATGAACACATTGTGCAAAAATCATTAAAATAAGATGAACAAGTATTTATTTTTAAGTACCCTAAACCAACTGAAACATTTGCTTCGATATATCATCATTATTTTAATTTTGATATTTTTCAAATATTTTTGTCTGCTCAAAAAATGAAAGAAACGCTGAAATTTATAACGTTTATTTTTCAAGGATTCATAAGAATTCCCTGACATTTTTGGGAGTATTCTGGTAAAAAAGGTACTGTATTCTTGAGACTATTCAAAGTTTCCTTGAATAAGTTCCATAACTGAACATTTTGCAATAATCATTTTTTATTATTTTCATATATTATGTACAATTAAAACCTTTATGTTTGTTAAATAGTTAAAAGTTCACCGACTTTTGTTAGGAATGTCCATAGTCTTCATAAATGAGAAAATGTTTTTAACTTGATGTCACTTCTATAATTTCATTTTTTAATTCGAGTGTTTTGTTATACGATCCTTTCATGATGCGGTAATACTGTTTCACCATGTTAAAAGTAATTAGACAAGATAATTTGAATAATATTTATTTTCAATGTCCAAAAATGTAGTTGCGGTTTTGCTTGGTGGGTCAGTTTAAGTGTTTATTCTCCCTTTCAAATGTTATTCCTAAAATATTTATTAATAAAAGCTACAGATAAAAATGAAACAAGAATTTACTATATATCTAGAAACTATAAATATAGTTAAGGTATATACTATATACGGGTATAATTATCCATTCTATTGTCATGCTCGCATGCTTCATTATTTTAGGGAATTTTATAGTTGTTTTTGAGTGAACTAAGGAGACGTGGATATTTTTTATTTTCTCATGTGCACTTATGTTATATAGCTTGCGTTTCTAATTCTGGCTGTACATTTTAGTCATATTTTTATTCAAACAATTAAAAATACCCTGCATTTTTTCGTATGGTATGCTAGTACATTTTAAATGTTCTATTTTGTAACACGAACGCGGTGTAACGTATAAAGTATCATATGTATGTTCCGGAATTGGGTCGACAAGAATCAATGCTATTATCCAAACAATTAATGTTTCCTTATATTCCATCAAAATGTCAGCATTCCGTAAAATATAAGTTTGATTTAGAATAAATTATTCATTTATCAAATCAATCCATCATGGTATCTGGAAAGAGTTACATGTAGTCGTTACAATATAGCCAATGGGTTCCTGTCATAAAGAATTGCCCGACTTTCTTTGGAGTAATTTTTAGACTTTTTCATATTTCTGCTAGAGTGTATAGACTATCATTAAATGCGTTTGTATCAAAAAGTGTCTTCTATGATAAACCACGAGCTTTCAAGATACTTCCCACGTTTCGACTCTTTTTGATTTTCTTTGGATTATGTTAATGGTATTTACAATTTATTTTTATATTGTAAAATGGTAAAACAGATAATTAAAGGTAATGATGGTAGCACAGCGACGAAATATTTAATCAAGTATGACCATTAGACTGTAATAAAAAGGGGATGTTAGAGATGTCAGAGATGTTACTACGACTAAATAATTAGTATATTTTTTACCGAAACATAAATTAGCAAAAATATATGGGATCTGATTTTACATTCTTTATAATAGATATGTTGCCTTAAATAATTCCAAAGTGAAGGGATCTATTTGTTTTAGATTATAATGGATTAGAGGTATGTCTGTAAACATGTAATTTGTAAAAAATATCTTAGCATAAACATTTTAATTAGCAGCGATGCATCTTCAAGAAGTTAGTTGTACTGTATACAGTGTACATCCTTCATAGACAAACTTATGATGCACGATGATTTATAAGTGTATACTTTTTTATTTCTATTTTATTCATTGAAAATAAGCACAGACATGTGCAATATTTAGGGGACGCGTAAACTGATTTAGATTGGGAATTTAAACTATAATGCGCGCTTTTTATAAATATATATGCTATAAATTTCAATCGTGCAATTATTCAATCGTGCATAGATACACGTACATGCACCTATCATATTTTACAATCAAGCTCAATACAATCATTATTTTGTAGATAGTCCATGAAAACACATGAAAACAAAATAGTGTATATCAAAACGTTTAAATATAAATAGAAAAAAATGAATTATGATATGCATTTCATTAATAGATTAATATAGTCATTTAAATAGTTTAAGAAAATTCACATATTTATGCACTTATCCTACCAGTTTTATTCTACCTACATGCAAATTAAGTATCTAATAAAAATAAATTGAGCGGTTCGAATGCAAATATATTCAAATAACCTGATTTTGATATATACATGATATTTTTACGTATTTTCTTTCTATTAACAAATCTATATGGTTCATAAAAAGTGTAAACTCCTAAAAATTATTTAACGTATCAATGTTCTTATACATTTCAGTTTCTCAGGAATATTGTCGAAACGGTTCGATATTTTTCCATCTCTGCATGTTGTGTATTATCAATGTGCAGTAAAATATTTTGAAAGTTTGTGCACCTATTTAAATCATATTTAGAAAACACATAATTAAAAAAAATACAATCCCCAAATCATTGGCAAATCAGTCAAATTAAAGTGCCGACATGGTTTTCATAATGATCATTTTGCATATTAATGAGTAAATGTGCAGGTGAAACAGGAACGCGTTTTATCTTATGCATTCTCGCTGACCCAAGAAATGAAACTTTTGGACTGCGAAACTTAGATAAGATAGGTACACAAATAATTACAATAGATACACAAAATTTATGTAAATACATATGTCTACCAATTATAGAATACTAACCGGGCCATTGTGCCTTCCACTGGCGCGCGTGTGATTTCGTAGTCTTCATCCAAGGGAATTGAAGTGGCTTCTCATTGTTATTATTAGAACTACTGGAATTTCCTCCATTGCTGTTACTTGGTTTTTGACTTTGGTGCGCAGGTGGGGGCTGAAGCGGGACGCTGGTTGGGTGAGATTGTTGTTGGGGTACATTTGTGTTTAAGTTCGATATATTCATGTTCACCCCGTGTTGCATATGCGCCGGGGTGGGTTGAGGCTGTAGGCTATGCGCCGGGATTGAATTGACCATCGGTTGTTCCACCATGTGATCCACCATAGCCATACCATGCTGGCTTGTATAGTCTAGTCCAATACTTGTTTGTTTATTAGTGTCGTAGACACACGCTGGGAGGTTATAGGGCCCCATACTCTGTTGGGTATGTCCCCCATAGCTATCCCTGCCATACATCCCTTGCGAACAGTACGGGTTCGACCCATCCATCCCCGGGGGTAGGGTGAGGCACTCCAGTTTGAACCTGAGAGTTATTGAGCTCCACGCGCTCCTTACTTCCGCGGCAACGTATTGTTCCGATTCCTGGTTCTCTATTCAAAACTTTCGCTCCACGTTTTTCAGACTGTCACACCTAGCGTCTTGCCATTTCTCAAAGCCACTGGAATCTAAGTTACAGAGTTATTTAAGAAAGTAATCAATTCATCATTGTCAAATTTCTTTAGATCATACTTTCATCTTACGCTAAACCAATCGAATAAAATACATATGTTCGCGATGAAATCAATTACTATCAGTCCAAAAGTCTCAAGATAAAATACATTAATTATAAATGATGATATGGTTTCGTAGGATTGACCAATCAGAAGTTATGTAGCAAGAGAACTTATATTAACTACACACGTCGCAAATGTACAAAATACAGTTATGACATATGACTATAGACCACATTAACAGTATTTGCCTTGCTGATGGTAGGGCAGTTGACAAGTTGAATTTATGGTTTTGTATTGACCAAGGATCCCAATGGGTTTCATTTATCCGGACTTCTTTGATAATATTTGATATATCAAAGCGAAAAGCCGGACTTATTTACGATTTTACGTTAAAACAACAGTTTACGCATATTTCTGGTATCGGGGTAATCATTCATAATTTATGGCTTGGTTGATTGTAAGATAAATATGCAGCAATTAAAACAACATGTTTTGATTTTGTTAAGATTTTCTAGAGATTAGAAATAACAAAGTATGCGGCAAATTCATATTGTCACGCTAATAACTAAATGCTGTCGCCTTGTATTCATACACGGCCATCGTTACAATTTCAAACAAAATTATATTTTACCTATTAAAAAACTATTTTTTCCCTTGGGAGTGTTTCTAGTTTTTTAAAACAAAACACTTGATCAAACTACATAATTGGGCTGGCCTAAATGATTATTCAACGTTTGTTGTTCTTGATTTTTTCCCATTTCTTTTATTAACCCATTCACAAACGTAAAGCATGCGTTATAAGATGAAGTTCATTTACATTGTACATTGGCTCTTTTTCTGCTCAGTAGTCATAATATTTACCAACATAAAAAACATTCGATATAATTATCAGTGACGTCGTTATTGACTTAAAAATTGACAAACAATTGTGGTTAGTGAAAGGATTTAAAATATTTTTTTCGATCATTTCAAGTCCCATAAATTTTGCATCCTATGGATGTTTAGAATAGTTTCAAGATAATATATGTATTTTTAAAAGTAGAGCTATGCATGTTGATTTTTAAGATTACAAACAATAATTAAGTTCCGAGCGCATGTGAATTAACCATAAATAGAATACTAGTACAAATTGTAACTTGCGAACAAAATTCCCAAGTTCCCAAAAATTCAACTGCAAAACCAATATGTTATTGCGTATAACTTTTATAATATTTTTTACAATTTCTACTGATATTTTGCAAATAAAAGGAACATATCTGAATTTGTACACACTTTATGTCAATTTTATGTAAAAATGATAAAAAAACTTGTTGATGTGTTTTGTATAACAACCTTATAAGGAATATCGCTCCGTGCATAGATGGATGTAATTATTCGAAAGTATTGAACAGTTTTAAATAACAACCTTATAAGGAATATCGCTCCGTGCATAGATGGATGTAATTATTCGAAAGTATCAAACAGTTTTAAATAACAACCTTATAAGGAATATCGCCCCGTGCATAGATGGGTGTAAGTATTCGAAAGTATTGAACACTTTTAAATATCTCATCCTTCTATTCTTGAGTAACTCTCTAACAGTATAACAAACATGCGAGAGGTATATCGCACCCGAGACCTGCATCTTAACAAAACGTATGGCGTGGCTAATGGCGATGGGTAAATCTACAGTGAATTGACTTTCTTTATAATAAAGCCAAGACCCTTGAGGTTCGTAAACCTCTCAGTAGGTTAGAGAGATTTATCATCTGATTTCTCCTCATATCGAGCATGTATTGTTAAACCGTTTTATTTGACATCTTTCCAAATTATAGAAATTCCAACCTCATATTTGATTAATGTCCCATTGATTCTTTCTCTCATAACTTCTCTTGTTAAATTTTTGACAAAAGACAAATTGATTTGAAGTCAGCTATGCAATAATAAAACAATGCACTAGTGAAACTAATAATAAGCTCATAGCAAGTGGGGGATATCTAGATTTGAGAAAAAGTAATCAAATCATACTTGAGGTGATTAGAAATACTTTCTGTCATTATTTTGTCGTATATTATCACAGATCAAAGCATAGTATTCATTTGATTTCTTCACATCTTATCCCATAATTATTTAGCAGAAACAGGATTGATTAATTATTGCAAAAAGTAAATAGTATTTTTACTAATTTTTATATAATCAGACTATATTTCAACAAGCGGTTTTCAAACTAAATTATGCTATTCTCTTCAATTAAATCTTTTACAAAGTGACTGAAATTGGCTCCTCGACCTACAACATTCTTATTTAATGCTTGTCGTCGCAGGGTTGAATACAATACGATACTATTCATGATAAATAGAGTTTTAACTTAAAGTTTGGCTTTAAATTGTAGTCACTGTACTCTTTGACTTTTTATTCTTTTTTAATTACACTGGTTCGAGGGTACGATAGATGCAAGTTCAAGATTTTACTTCTGTCAACGTAAGATGACTAATTATTTTAATATTACTAACCTAAATTATAGAAATCGAACAATCAAAGATATTAAAATATATCGTACTTTAATTCGTATACTAAGCAGGTCGCGATCGTAGAAACACTATGTACATAAAACACACGATGCACAACGGGCATGCATTTGTTGTACAAGTTATTACTAATGCCTAGATAACGTCATATTTATTATGTACACAGGTGACGAATCTTACCCTGGTTTGATTTTATCCTTATGTTTTTCAATCTTAATTAGAAAAATAACCATTTTCTGCTGGTAATCCATCTTGCCTTATCTCCTAGCATTGTAACACGTGTTTGACGTCACAAACACGTGTTTCATTTGCCAAATTACACATAGAAATCACGTCAGAAACCTCCTTCTTTCCACAGAGCCCTCTTAAAGCCTACAATAACAAGACTGATAATTAAAATGAAGGTGAATAAACCGTGTTGAAATGTTTCATACATGATACCAGGGGTAGGAATAATTGGTGTGTTTGTATAAAGAGATATGGCTTATTGTAAGGTATAGTAACAGTAACTTGCATATCTTACACATACAATGCTCGCGTCTGCCAGTTTCTCAGCTTATCTCCAAACCAAGAACTCCTGAAACCAATCCAGTCATTAAATGAAATATTAATGTCTTGTTGTCATTCATGATTAAACTCACTTTTCAATCAAATTTTCAATATGCATTTCCGTTTTATTAGAATATGATTATTACATTGGAAAACATATTACACAGACTGTACACGTACGCTACTGTGAATCGAAGGTTAGGGAGAACAATGTAATACGTACCATTTGGGTATCGTGCCCAAGAAATTATATCTCATATCTCCCAGCCAACTGAGGTATCCCATTGCCTTCACTTTTACACTGCTGTTAAGTGTCAAATAAATGGATTTTATACTAAATAAGAAAGGACGATTCTCGGTTTGGAGAACGAAGTTCATCAATCTAAATGAGCATTATCCGTGCTTCGGACAAATTTGATATTTTTACATAATATAGATTTGAATGTCTTCTTTTGAATAGTCATAATTTAATTTGGGTAATATTTCTAGATTTTTCGAAAAAAAAATATTAGCGCAGTACACTGATGAACTTCTTTCCCCAAATCGAGACTTGTATTTTATTGAATCGGTCAAATTGAGCGTTATCCCTGCTTCAGACCAATTTGTTATTTTTACATCTTGTAGATTTAAATGTCCTCTTTTGAATATTCATAGTTTAATTTGGGTAATATTTCTATATTTTTCATGAAAAAAATTATTAGCCCAGGAGACTGTTCTCAAAACCGAGCATCGTCCTTTGCAACATTTTGATTTTGTAGTCAATAGCAATGACAGATGATATTAAAACATTTCATTGTTGTTTCGACTTCTATTTTTAGAATTACTAAAAGTAGGGCTCATTGTAACAGCTCCCACTCCGTCAATATTTTATCAACTTCTGTTTTCTTTATATGGAATGAAAGATACTAATATCCACTTCAAATGTGTTTGTAAAAGGCTGTCAAGGCTCTGAAAAGGAGTGAAACTCACTGTAATATTATATACAACCTTTAAAGCAGCAAACTTGATGTAATAATAATGATAAATCAAAAAAGTTTTAACCCTTAAACAAAATTACTTAGGGATCATATTTTAGTAATAAAAATATACCGTTTGAAAGTATACAATAATATAACCATGGGTCAAGTCAAATTGAATGCTTGACGAGTTATATATGCATATGGGTTATTAGATAATTGTCTTGATTGGATTTAAGCCCTGGACTCAGTGCAATGTGAAATGACCATTCCTTGAGAAGAGGTGTTTGCTTTTCTGCGAGTCATGCTTTTTGTCGCATCGTTTTTATTAGAAATAGTTAATATACTTTATATAGATGTCACGCCGGTCGTTTACAGAACTATCAAAAGGTTGAACTGAAATTGGTAACCTAAGATGTCGCCACTTGCATGTTTTCCTCAATTTTATGAATATAACGATATAGCATAAAATGGATCTTGTAACCTATAAGGACGATGATGAAGTTTACCTTTACACTGATGCCTCCATGGTACAATCGTGGTACAACGGAGTGTCAGTCATAAATTGAATTATTTTGGCATGACTATTTAAGACATGACTATACCAATTGACATGCCTTACTTGTCTTTTGATTCTTATTTCAAAACATATTTCACATGACACATATAGATGGAAGGGGATGACGAGTGTTCCCTCCCTCGGAGAACTCAGAAAACTCGGGACATGAATTCTAAGGGAGCGGGGGGGACTCTTAGACACTGCCACGGACATATACAGGGTGGTCAAAAAATGGGACACTCGTATTTCAAAAATAAATATTGATTTTATTGACGAAAACATATCATATTATATACCAGTGGATAGGGAATTTAATTACCTTTAGTTTGGCATATCATAAGTTTAAAGTTATTATAATACACGTCCACCAGAGTCCATAATACAAATGACGTCATTTTCACTTCAAAACGGGTTTTCATAAATTTGCAAAAACAAGTTTTTTTGTCAACGGGAACAAATGTTTTTACAAGTTTTTGAAAAACTGTTTTGAAACGAAAATGACGTCGTTTGTTTTATGGAGGAATTACAATAAAATTGAACTTACGATATACCAAATATAATTCCCTGCACTGATATATGTTTTCATCAATAAGATTAATATCTATTTTTGAAATACAAGTACTCCCATGTTTTGGACTACCCTGTATATGAACATAAGCAAATAACTTTATTGTAGGCAATCGAATTATATGGCCAGTGGTAACAGGTTAAAGCAACTCCGCAATCTGACATTCGGTTCATCTTTAGTTCAGGTCGACTCGGCAACCCGACGTTTGGCTGCAACGGCCAATAAAATATTTTTTAGAACCTATTAATACTTCCATAGTCTTGGTTCTTCTTTATCTACGTGATTAGCAACAGCAACGTTGAACATTTTAAAATATGAAGTGAAGCAATATACGCTGTTCTTTCCAGCCTTGACACTTTTGTGAAGGGCAATAAACATAAACAGACAAAAACAACAAACAGTTGAATTTATTGTCTTTCAGAATTCATCAACAATAATCATGCTTCAGTACATACATTAACTCTCCTAGTGATCGACTTCAATATACTGCAGCTTCACCTCGGACTAACTTGATCGAAATCATAAAAGTAAACGTTTCTCAAATGTATATTGTTTGACAATGCCCCGAAGTATTTATGTCAAGAATCATTCAAATGCTTATTTTCAAATCGATGTTTTTGGGCATCTAAAAGATTTTCCACCAAACGTGCACTGGACACTAGCAATAACACCACATGCAAGTGATCTCCGTGGAACTGGGTTTGTTTGTATAACTGCGGAATATAACTGATCATTTCCACTGGTGGATCCAGGTGGGGCATCAAAGTGGGCTTTTGGACATTACTTGGCCTTTTTGGGGCCTTTTTAGGCCAAATTATCCAAAATGGGCCTTACATTTTCAAAATTTTGGCCCATTTTTCCCTGACTTAAAATGTGGCTCATCATGTCTGATAAAAGGACAATTCGAGTTTGGCTCAAAAAGATGGATAAGAAGTTGGTCTATCTATTTACCAACTTTAAGGCCTCCAAATTCGTAATGCAGTCAATTTGATAATTGTTCACAGATTCTGGCAAGTAATAAAGTCTTAATGAAATTAAAATTTCTTTCTTTTTTTCAACCACAACACATTTCTGGTTGTCTTTCCCCATAACACTTATAACACAGGCTGGTTATATTTAGTACTTTCAAGGGTTTCAGAATACAGAAAAACGGTCGTATGTTAATTTGAACTAATTGCGTTATATCCGACAGTTGGTTGCATTTCTGTTGATTTTCTTAATATATCGGTAATACTGTCCCCTCAATATGTTCTCGAAATATATCCTAGGTATGTAGGATATTATATGAGCAATTTTAATGGGACTTCAATGATTGTCTGGGGAACAGACTTGTGCGATATTGTCCCTGTAAGAATGGTCAGTCTCAATTGATTGTACTTTGTGTAGAAAACAATTTTCAAATTCAGGATAGAAGACGTTACGAAGCCGTAGCGAAGTAACCTCATTTGTTTACATTCGCCAATACGAAAAAGAAACATGAAAGTTGTCATAACTTTTTGAAATATCCCCGGGGATATCTTATTTATAGTGAGCCATTTCGTAGTAACACGTGGCCTTGGATCGAATGCTAAGATTACTTGCATAGGGTGTCAAGCAGATAATAAATCCTTTCAACATTGTTTTGAAAGATTTATAGTTCATTTTGTTATTCTTTGACGTCGATCACGTAATGTCCATATACAAATAAAAATGGTAAAATGATTATTTGTGAACATGTGTATGTACAGGGTGACCCAAAAACAGAACCCTCTGAAAGTGTAAAAACTTCTTAGATACCTATCCTATCAACCCAATTTCTTATGTGCATAAACTAGAAACTATGGATGATAATATATAAAATTGATTATTTGTGATATCATTGATGATCTTAGAATGTGTCCAATTTTCGGAAAATCAACATTTTGACAAATCATATCTTGAGATTTTATGAGAAATTCAGAAAGAAATTCCAAAAGAAGACGTAAAATCAAAGCCTCATTTAAAATCTAAAATGAAAAAGAAGGATAAGCAAAAATAAACACACCTTGTAAAAATCAGATGACTGAAATTCCTGGCCTCTGAGTATTTCTTACATTTTTTTGTCGAAAGTGGGCACATTTTTAAATTAACCATAACAAGAAACATATTGAATCTTATGAAAAGAATTTAGTATCACATTGTCATCAATAGATTGTAGTCTCTATTCATGAAAAATAAAGGCGATTACATATGTAAAAGTAAAAAAGTTATTTCATTTTTGGAGGGTTCTGTTTTAATGGGTAACCCTGTATAATAATTTTGGGCTTTTCATGGTCATAATCTGTCATCCTCCGTACGCAGGGTTTCAAAATCCAGAATCTAGTAAGGAGGTACGATTCTGGAAGCCTGCTAAGGAGGATGTAATCTGTATACTACGTGTGTTATGAAAGAATTCTAAATTTTCTCTGCTTCAGACATCACTTCAAACGGTAGTTTCATGAATCAACGCACACATGTAGTTATCCATAGAAGCAAGACATATCTCCCGAAGATAAATAAGGGTTATGTACTGGGAGGTTTTGGATATGGGGTTTATCCAGAGGGAGATATGCATATCTACCTGAGGGACCGTAGGGACCGAAGGTAGATGTGCACATCTCACGAGGGATGAACCCAATATCCAAACCGACCGTACATAACTGGTTTATCCTATACCAAGTAGAGTTTTCAGTGAAATTACCGGAAGCAGGAAGATATGCACCGAAGCGGGAAGATA